TTAAGCCCTGCAAGGTCCTAAAAATAAGGTTCAAACCAGATTTAGATGGTTTAAATGTCCCTATGATACCCTGCATCCTTTTTCCATTTATTTCCATTTAATTAGGAACCAGTCAAAAATTTAACTACTATCAGTAGGTCAATTAAAGATATAAATCTCAAATTATACTGTATATATTTTAAGTTTTTTATCTGTCGAATGAGACTATTATGCATAACAGTTCATCAACACCAAAAACTCCTTTTCTGAAACAATCACAATCTTCAACAAAGCGAATCAGAAGGATTTCTAGTCCAGGGCTGGTTTGGCCGACACGATCATGCAGGAGACTTCTCACTCAACAGCTGTCGAGCGGACAGTCTCTACCCCCCTCCTCCAAATATGGGATTAGCTCCTAAAGATCATTGTTAAATAAGCTGGTTGTTCACAGTGATCTTTATCCCAGCATAAAAATTAAAGGTGTGAAAAATCTGGTGGAATTCATCAAAGCTGGACTACAGAGGAAAAAACTGGACTGTTGCTCAGTTTTTCAAAGTATAACTCTCAGGCAAATGTAAATTCATTTTTTCATGGGAGAGTAAAGGTCCCAGTTTCTGGAGGAAGGGCATAAAATCCATGCTGGTCGGGATCTAGTAAAGTTTCCCAAGCCCACCTCTATCTACCGGTGTTATTTCGCCAACTTTCATCACAAGTCAGGTCATTTAAGAGAGCTTACACTGCAAAAACGATCTAGAAATAAGTACAAAAAATCTTAAATTAAGTACATTTTACTCTTAATTTGAGCAGGTAAATAAGATGATCTGCCAATGGAATGAGTAGTTTTACTCTTAAAATAAGATAGTTAGATAATGTGCGCTTATAATAAGACAATACCATTGTTTTTTCTTCTCATAAAAGTAAATCCTCTTGTTCCATTGGCAGTGTCTCACTTATCTCCTCAATTCAAGAACAAATACACTTGCTTTAAGAAAAAAAAATATTGAGATTTCTATTTTTTGCAGTGTATGCTTCCCTCTGCTGACAGGTTCTGTAGCAGGGGTCACCAACTCGCATATTTTGGTCCGGGTCGGGACCCTGAGAAGCTTTTACCTGGGTCGCTGGACTTTTTCTGTGGTAAAATTAATCTATGGTAGTCTGAAATTAGAATATTCATTAGACACAGCTTTGACTTCCCCAATTGTGGCTTTTGAGGTGCTTTCCTCAACCTCTTACAATCACACAAGACCTACAGTTTGTTTTCACTCCCAGATGTACAGCGGGTGAGACAGAAGCTTGCCCTGCCTTTAAGCCTTAAAGGATTTAAGATTGCCTGTTTAAAAATCAGGGAGGTGCACTGTGAAAATAGAGCATTTAAAGACGAGTTGATGGACAAATACTTTCCTCCAAGGACATGCTACAAGGCCAATCTGTTTAAGCTGCTCATTCTTTGGTGGAAACAGTTAAATGCCACTGGGGTTCTAAAAGTAGAGTTTGAGGAAACTTACCCAGAATATGAGATAGGAATCATGAAAATAATTGAATTCAGAAAATGAATCCTGTTTTATGAACCCTTAAATAAAATAAAAATAAACGTTTCATACATTATTTAAAAAAGGACTTTTATTTATTTATTTATTTTGCTGTTAAGTTTTGTAAAAGATTAAATGTTAGTAAAGATTTAAGAAAGTGAAGTGTGTTTTTAAGATGTATTAAATACATTCTTTAAAACTATACTGTAACTAAGAAAATTAGCAAAAAAACTTAGTAAAATTGTGAAGTTGCCTAAGCTGAGGAATTGGACCCTTTTGAAATCTAGCAAATTAGCTGTGTTCAATAGAGATCCTTCACTTTCTAGCAGAACTTACTCCCAACCCGTGCTTTCAAAGGTTACAGTAACCATGGTGATGGTGAGCTTGATTGCCCAGAAACCTCATATCAAGAGCAGAATGCAAGCTGAAGGCTGCTGTTAAAGCAATCTGTGTTTTATTCCTGCATCAGCAGAGCCTTGTGCTGACACAGTCATTTAGGTAAAGAGAGCCATAAATTAGTATAGACGAATATTTATTCAATAGGTCTACATTATCATATCAAACATCCATTTTTATTAGACATAGTTCATGCTAAACATCAGAGAAACTGATTTTTTTGGTTTTGGTTATCTATGAAACATTTGAAAAAAAAATAAAAAATACTTGAAATATATCCCCACCTGTAATATATAATTATAAATTTTCCTTCTTGAAGAACTAAATATCCAGTTTTCAATGACATTCTAATTTACCGTGAGGCGCCTGTTTTATTTTAATGGCAACACCCTTTATCTTTCACCTTTCTCTGAATGAAATAGAATAAAAATATAACTTGATTGAGCATTCATGAGATATCCTCTTGTGTAAAACTGGGACATAGATTTCGTTTTAGATTGTTAGTTATGGTGGAAGATGGAGATACACATTAGATGTGTTTAATTGCTTCATGGTACAGGTCCAGAACTCTTGCAGTCTTTTTCAAATTAACACATGAATCAGTGGAGTCACATTAATATATCAGCAGACAACAGGAGCTCCTGTTTGCCTCCAAACTGTGACATTTTAGCCAACAGTCACCTTTGAGGTGTGTATTAGGATTTAGAGGTCCAAAAGTGGAATGATCCGAGTACTCAGTCCTCACGTATTTAGTCCGGATGAGACCTGAGAGACCTGAGAAGCAGACAGGATGACAAAAGGCAAAGCAAGTGACGAAGAGGAAAAAAAAAAAAAGAAGGCTGGCTGACGGACTAAAAAAAGATGTCAGAAATAGCAGTGAAGGGAAACGTCGGCAGAAATAATGATGATCTGCGGATCAGTGAGCAGCGGAAGCTCAGGACTGCCCCAAAAAAGCAAGCAGTGTGGGGGGGGAGGGGAAGTTTTAGAGCAAAAAAGAGAGAAAAGTGTAATGGAGTCATGAAGCAGTGACAGGGGGGAAAAAAACATAAAAATCAAAATTTACTGACAGACAAATCAAGTTTTTTGTTAAATCCTTCAAACCCTTCATCCCTGCACTATGCTGCTCTGAGCTTCATTGTGATTGGCCGGTGGGGACGTCAGGTTTTGGTGCATCGACGTGACGGTCCTCGTGTGTGCGACTGACGCAGAGCTGCTGTCAGAGCTGCAGGACAGAAAAATCTCTCCCTACTCCGCTTCTCTTCCTCCTCTGAATGATGCAGCAAAAAAGGAGGAAGAGGAGGGAGAGAGGACAGGAACAATGGGTAGAATGCTAGGGGATTAGGGCTGCTGCTTAAGGACGGACTGGAGATAAAAGGAATAAAGGTAGGAAAGGGGAAAAAGCAAAAAAGGATAAATGAGATCAGGAGTCAGTTTAGAAGAGTAAAATAGAGGGATATAGGAAAAATAGAAAAAGAGACGGAGGAATAAGGAACAAGGAGGATAGTGTTTGAGTTTATGAGAAGTGATAAATAGAAGAAGAAATAAGGACAATGTGAAGAACCCACAGCTCTGAATGAGAGTCAGAAAATGTTTGAGCTTCTGATCCCATCTTTAAACCAGCCAGCAGTAAAAGCAGCAGCCATAGTCTCCATGGCTTCTCTAGGAGCCAAATCCATCAAGTGAAAAAAAAACAAAAAAACCGACTGGCCCTCGCTCCCCTCTGCTGCCACCGCTGATTAACAGCTCTGAAAAAAAGAGCAGGACAGTTTTCCTCCCATCACACATTCAGGAGAACGAAGACTCTTTGTCTTTCCAAAATGTTCAGCCAATCAAGGAGGCTTTGTTGGAAAACAAGCTGCGTTCAGTGAGAATAATGTATGAGAAATGATGCAGGGAAAAAAACACATTCTTTGTGTGTTACACGCTCTTACAAACAAATTCCCTGGAACTTTTTCACATTTTTTGACAACATAACGCAATGTTGCAACCAATTAGATGTTTTAGTCAAATTTAATGATAATATCTTTCAACCAATGAAAACCTATTTTTGCCTCTCAGACTAATTAATAATGACTTTAAATATACAGTAAAAGATAAAAAAAAAAAGGAAACAAGAAACAGGGAAAACCGCAGCATTGTGAAGCAAAGTTTCAACAGGGTTCTTGCTCGGTAATTCAAAGTTTTCTTTCTTTTGAAAATAAAGCCTGGATTTCGTTGATTAATCAAGTTCCAGATTTTGGAGGGAGAGTGAAGAGGCACAGAATCCAAGCTCATGAATTCACACTCCAGAATAGATTTTCCACAACCAGTGTTAATCTGTGGATCCATTTCACAGCTAGTGCTGGTAGACTGAGTTTTAGGTTGAAAGTCTGTACAGACGTCTTTCAGGAAATATTGAATCATTTTATTCTTCCTCTTAGCTGATAAATGCTGCAGGAATCAACAAGATAACCAAATGCACCATGGCCTGCTTTGATTAAATCCTCCATAATCTTGTTTGGTTGGGAGACTGCCATACAACTGGCCTAATACACTGTATAGTGCAAATACTAAGTTAAATAAACTTGTTTATTGGTCGCATTTAACACAAAATGTATGGGTTTTTCTAAGCTATAACCATGAGATTGAGCAGAAATAAAAGTGAAATTCCCTCTGTGGATTATCTATTTGAGTTTGACTTTTTGAATCAGACCAATAACATAAGCTAGTCGGCTAGTTAATATGAGACTTTAAATCTGACTGATGTACACCTGTGGGGATTCATGACAGCAGGGAACTGTTTTTACCCCTGAATGCTAAACTTTCAAGGAATCAGCAAAAATACTGACTTTACAGTAACTTAACTAGCAAATGTTTTTTTTTTTCTTTTTATTTCTACCGAAAGTTACATGAAAGGCAAGAAAGTAAATTGTTCTTGTTAATCAGGTTAATTTCTGAACCTTTTGAAAAAAAAAAATAAATGCATTTTTTTTTAGGAGACTGAAAAAATGTTTTGAGGAAAAGGGATTGAATGAGGTAATTCCAGCTGAGAAGAAATAACAGTCAATTCAGCCTGAGGGGAAAAAAAAGTGATGAAGAAATATGTGGGGTTTTTTAAAATAAAAATGAATGCTACACACATAGATTTAGTCCCTAACTTCAAGCCCTTCCTGCATTTATGTGTCTTAATGTGAGTTTTGTTTTCCATGATTGCTTTGCTCTTTCTGCAGTTTTTTTTGTTTGTTTACTGCATGAATTTAACTTGTCTTTAACCTCTCTAATCTTCCTGCCTGAAAGATCTCAGCTTTCTAGCTGTTAGAAGGCAACAGTTTTAACTGACTTGACCAATTGATCAGGATTTTGCTATCTTAGATTAAATAAGTCAGTGAGAAATTTAACAGACTGGACAAAAGCTTAATGTCTGACCAAGCTGGTCCAAATCCAGTCACCCAAACCATTAACACAGAAGAAGAGGAGATGAAAACCAGCTTGCGTTCCCTCACAGAGTCTTCTGGGACCAAGAGGCTGAGCTTCTCTGAGGTGACAGTAGAGAGGAGAGGCAGGCGGAGCGTCAGATCAGTTAGAAGTGGAATACCTGCTGCTGGCCCTGGACTTTGGGGAAATCATCTTTCTGTTTGCGGGATTTTGGTCTCTCCAGGCTTCCCTGTTGAAGGTGTTTGAGTCGAGCCGCAACAGTTGGACCCTTTGTCGGTCCCGGTGAGTTACTGCTGTTCTGTGGAAGAAAAGCATCTTGTTTTTGTGAGCTGATTTTAACTAAGTCACCCAAGGTACAACCACCTGTGATCGTTTGAACCACCTGATGAAATAACGCTGGAATTATGTAAATATAAACCATAATGACTCAGGAGCAATGCTGCAAAAATGTATGACATTTATAAACTAAGTTGTTTTAAGAATGGAAAAAGGCTATACATATTTTTCATTCAAAAATTTTTAAATTTCAAAACCTCTGTAAATTTCCAGACCTGTGTAAAAACTGTGTGGAACTCAATTCCCCCCAACCTGTGACTTCCAAAGTTGGGGTTGGAGCCCCAATTGGGCTCCTGGATCAACATGTACAGTGAGGAAAGTAGGTATTTGATCACGCTGCTATTTTGCAAGTACTTGGAAATTATGGAGGGCTCTTAAACTCTCATCGTGGGTGCATGTCTACTGTGAGAGACATGATCTAAATAAAACAAAAACAAAAATCTCAATATATGATTTTTAACTATTCATTTTAATGATGTAACAGCAAATAATTATTTCCAAAAACTGTCAATCAACTAGAATTCTGACCCTTAAAGACCTGTTAGTCTCCCTTCAAAATGTCCACATCCTCCCAATTTATTATCCTAAAGTAGATGAACCTGTTTAAGGTCTTTAGCTGCATAAAGACACCTGTCCACCCCATACAATCAGTAAAACTTCTACTACTAACATGGCCAAGACAAAAGAGATGTCCAAAGAAACTAGAGACTAAATTTTACACCTCCACAAGGCTGGAAAGGGTGTGTATCACTTTAGTCAAAGCTTGGTGAAAAAAAGTCCACTGTTGGAACAATCATTAGAAAATGGATGAAGCTAAACAGGACTGTCAATCTCCCTCAGACTGGGAGTCCATGCAAGATCTCACCTCTTGGGGTCTCAGTGATCCTAAGAAATGTGAGAAATCAGCCCAGAACTACACAGGAGCTGGACAATGACCTGAAAAGGGCTGGGGACACCGTTTCTAAGGTTACTGTAAGACATCATGGTTTAAAATCATGCATAGCAAGGAAGGTTCCCCTGCTTAAACCAGCACATGTCAAGGCCTGTCTTAAATTGGCCAATGACCATTTGGATGATCCAGAGGAATCATGGGAGAAAGTCATGTGGTCAGATGAGACCAAAATAGAACCTTTTGGTCATACTTCCACTAACTGTGTTTGGAGGAAGAAGAATGATGAGAACCATCCCAAGAACACAATTCCTACTGTGAAGCATGGGGGTGGTAGCATCATGCTTTGGGGGTGTTTTTCTGCACATGGGACAGGGTGACTGCACTGCATTAAGCAGAGGATGCCCGGGGCCATGTATTGCAAGATTTTGGGGAACAACCTCCTTCCCTCAGTTAGAGCTTTGAAGATGGGTCGAGGCTGAGTCTTCCAGCATGTCAATGACCCAAAGCACACAGCCAGAATAACCAAGGAAGAAGCATATCAAGGTTTCCGGCGTGGCCTAGCCACTCTTCAGACCTAAACCCAATAGACAATCTTTGGAGTGAGCTCAAACTCAGCGACAGCCGAGGAACATGACTGAGCTAGAAAAGATCTGTATGAGTGGGCCAATATCCCTCATGCAGTGTGCAAACCAGGTGAAACACCACAGGAAACATTTGACATCTGGAATTTCAAACAAAGGCTACTGTACCAAATATTATCATTCATTTTCTCAGGTGTTCAAATACTTATTTGTAGCTTTATCATACAAATGAATAGCTAAAAAAAACATACATTGTGATATCTGGATTTCTTTTTTTTTTTAGATTATGTCTCTCATAGTGGACATTAACCTACAATAAGAATTTTTACCCCTTCATGATTTCTAAGTGGGAGAAGTTGCATAATGTACATGTACAAATACTTATTTTCACTGTATACTGTCATAGGATCCACTACTGAAATTAAAACCAACAATAAATAATAAAGGTAAATCACATTTATGTTAAAATCTTTATAGATATGAAAAAAAATTACTTAGAAATAAACAAAAAACAAATCTTTTGGTTGCTGATTTGGGATATTATTGCATCCAAGGTTAATTGATTTTGCAGAAAACTTTGAAGCATTTAGGTTGGTTAATTCATCGACAATGAAAACATTGTATTAAACAGAAGCCGAATGGGAACCTTTGGCCCTTAGGGCTCCTCCCTTGCATTAAATATGTGTTTCCCTTCTCATTTTATTAACTGAAGCAAAGAAATCAAAGAGTTCTACCCACTCCTGCCCTGCAAATAAAATCCCTTTTAGATCATTTTAGTGACTGCTGTTTAACTTGACTGATGAATTTTAGAGTACAGTGTATGTGGAACATCAGTAATCCAATATTCCTAATGCTCCATAGGCCCTGTTGACCCTTTTTTTTTAACATCTTTAGCATATTTGCCGGCACAGGCTGGGTGTTCTTTGAAGAGATGTAGCCATAAAACATGATATTGTCAGTAATCGTATTAGATGCCTTTTTTGATGCATCAACCACATGGAAACCTTTATTGGTGAGTTTTAAAAGCTAAGTTTTTCTTCATCATTTCTGTTTTCCATATTAATCCTTTTCCCAAACATTAGTAACGTTTAAAGTAACTGAAATCTATTTCCTGCACTTTTAAGCTTTAAGATCACCATTTATTTCTGTTTTCGTTCTGTAGAAGTTACCCATAGTTCCCCTAAGTTGGTATCATGTTTTCTGTTTCTGTACAATTGCTACTGCATCTCACAGCTGAAATCATTCACTTGTTAAATTCTGATGAGATGGAGCAGGGCACATGTATAATAATACATTTACCTGATATTAGTTTAAAATCAGACTAATAACAAATATCCCCCCTAGTATTTCTCAGCTTTACAGTTTGATGTGTAAAAATATGGAAATCTCAATGAAAAGAGTAGAAACATTTCAGAGATCTCAAGGGGAAGTAAAACAATAAGCCAATTCCTAATCATGCACAAGTTGATTTATTTTCCCTTTTTTCCCTTGTATGGCGTGTTGTTAATCTGCATGGAAGATCAAGCAAAGTAGGAAATAAATAGGAGTTAATACAAAGGATTAAGTCAGCAGAAAGAGGCCTGGGAGTGAGGCAGCAGGAGGCAAAAGCTTGAGGTTTTACATTTACCTTTCTGCCCAGTGACTCAATGACGTAGGGGGAGGGGGCCTTTGGTCGGCCGCTGCTCTGTTTACTACAGGGGGGATCTTTTACAGGTGTTCTCTGAAATATCTTTTTATTTATGAAATAATGCAGTGAGAACAAATCAGAACTTAATGTCACAATGGAACAGAAAGTAGCCTATGAACTGTTCTACCTCCAGCTCAGCGAGGATCTTCTCCTCATCATCCTCGTCCTGAATGGCTGAGGCAGCGATCACAGGTGGGGTGGAGGCTGGTCGGGGGGTGTCTGAGGGGGTCCGTCTCAACTTCACCAGAGTTTTTGGCATTTCACCATCTTCCTCCACCTACACAGACAAAGGGAGACAGCTGAAACTCAGAGAAGTGTAACTATAGTCCTGAAGGATTGCAGTCTTTTAAGCTCTAGATGTGTCCTTGTGACCTCTTATGAGGTCATTTTACTGCAAGGTTCAATAATCAATATCTAAATATGGAGGGCAGAAGAGCCCCCTGAAACCTGAAAAAAAGTCAGACAAACTGCTTTTTTACTTTCAAATGCTGATCCTGGCTCTCGGTTTGGCATAACTTAATAACCACTCACATTTCAACATGACACTAGTTAATTGGTAATGCTATTCTTAAACACCTTCATTCTTACATTTTGTGTTTTAGAAATCAGGAAAATGGTCAAGCCTGAATCGGAAGTTTGACAACAACAATGAAACAGTAATGGCTACAAAATAAAGAATAGCTTGGTGGTGAAAATAAACCAGAAGTGACCAGGACACTATAGTCCAGGTGAATTTTGATACACACTATAGAGACCATCGATACCCTTTAATGGCATCTGCTCTACCTGATAGACCTGATTCAATCTGCTGGGTTCCCTTAGATAGAAACAATATTGATGACATGTAATGGTAAACTGAACTCAACTGCAATGTTTAATAACTGAGATCAGTTGGAGTTTGAATCTCTCCATATAACTGGATAATTTTTATTTTTTTGTGAACCTGAGTTTAGATACATTAAATTAAATGGAATTTTTGCTTTATAAACTGTTTTCCCAGCTGATAACCTTGTTTAATTACAGAACGAGTGACAGCTGGAACCTCTGAGCCTCACCTTCTGGTTCTTGTTGGTGACGATCACCTCTCCAGTGCGGTTTGTGGTGAGGCCGTGAACCGATGGGAAGCTTCGGCGAGGGGGAGGTGGGGGAGGAGACTTAGATGGTTTTTCTGTTTTGTATCTTGCTACATTGAGGTCCACTGCCCAATCAGAAAAATATCATTTAAAATATATTTATTTTTATCAAATGAATCATCCTTTGTACGCAAAAATGATACTGATATCTGGACAACTCACCGGACCCTCGATGTGAACCGCTGCCTTCCATGCTGTTGAGCTTCTGAGCAGCCAACTGCACCTTGCCAGGCTGCTGGTCCCCACTAGACGTGGTGGTGGTGGCTGTTGTCCCAGTGCTCCCTGCAGCTGAAGAAGTAGCTGTGGTGGAGGATATTGGGAGGGTAATCTGGGGTTTGGGAGGGACTGCCGGTTTATTTATGTGCTTGGCAGCAAAGTCCAGATCTGGAATGGCCTTCATCAGTTCAGCCTGGGTTTCCTCCAGCAGGCGATTGATATCCTGAGCGCTAAACTGGGTCAGACTGGCACGTTTCTCCTCCCAGTCACGCTCAGCTGCCTAAAAGATATACAGAAGCAGATAAATAAAAAACAGCATGAGACTACTGGCAAGATATATGGAGAGTGTTTTCCAATGCTGCCCCAACAAATGGAATAATAAACCATCTGCTTGTGTGATGAGGGTCTGAGTAACAGATTTAAGAGCTTTCAGATATAATGTTCTGTGTAAATGAATATCTACCATCTGGCATAAGAATAAGATGTAAATATCTTTCTGTTTACAGCAGACTGGTGAATGAATACGCCCACAATTATGTTTACCAGTCTGACTTCAGCAGAGACTGCTTTGTCTCCTGGTCTGCGACTTGGCAGCTCATCCAGGACTCGGGTTCTGAAGGCCATGGAAGACTGGATGTCCTGCTCAGGACCAGATGTGTCAGTTTCGCTAGCAGAGGAGGACAGGGGCATCCAGTTGGCCAGACCGGAGCTGGTGCTCAGGTCACTGAGGCTGAGAGGAGGACTGTTCAGGATGTCCAGATCAGAGCCTTGACTCATATCATCCAGTCTTTTCTGGGACTGACAGGAGAGGTCTTCAGGGGTCTTCCAAACGCCTTCAGAGACCTGTCTGCACAAACAGAAAGGACACAAAGAAGAAAAATAACAGACATAAAAATCATACATAAGTTACTATTATACATATATGGTTGGGTTAAGCAGCATGAAATAGCACCTAAAAGTAGTAGGATTTTGTGTTCCTATTTAAAACCTTTTCTTATGTACAAAAAAGCAAGCAGTTTTAAGCTAAATTTAAATAATAAATTCAGATGTTGTCTCTTTGCATAGCATGATTGTGAAGTAAAAGCCAATTCATATTTAGTTTTAGCATCTTGAAAACAAACAAAAAAAGATTCAATTCTCTTCAACCTCCATTAGACAATATTTGTCGAAAACCTTGTTTAATGGAGTTAAAGCTGAAAGTTTTCTGACTCACGTTCACCATCTTTCATCCAGGAAGCCAAACTATGTATTTATACTAGGAGAGCAGCCATTCAGACACAGACATTTTTCTAAGCAAATATATTTCTAGAGGGGCTATTGACATTTTCACCAGATGTCGGTAACAATCCAGGCAATCCACACATACAAAGAAATCAAACCATAGATGTTCAGAAATTAATTTTGTTTAAAAAAACATTTTTCTCACTAAATAATAATATTTAGTGAGAAAAATGGAGGTTTGTTCAATACTTATATCACCTGCTGTGTGAATCTGCATTGATCTAAACCGTTTTGGAGGGCGACAGTGGCGTTGGATGTAGGAGTTTGCCCTGAAATTAAAGGATTGACGGTTCAAACCCCAGCTCTGACTTTCAGTGTTGTTGTGTCTTTGGGCAAGACACTTCACCTGCATTGTCTACTGATGGTGGTCAGAGGGCCCGGTGGCGGCAGTTTATGGCAGCCCAGCTTCTGTCAGTGAGCCCCAGGGCAGCTGTGGCTACAATGTAGGTTGCCACCTTGACTGAATGGGTGAATGAATGTAGTGTAAAGTGCTTTGGTCAAGTCTCCTGACTTGAATAAACGCGCTATATAAGTACATGTCATTTACCATTTTACTGTAACTTTGGCTGTATGTTTAGGGTCAGTGTCCTGCTGTAATATCAACAGCCCAGCCTTTCTTTTTTTATTTAGCACCATCCATTCTCCCATCAATTCCAAGCAGTTTCCTGTTCCTTCTGCAGAACAACTCTTGGATCAAGCATTTCTAATGAGGTCATTAAATTTATATTCTTTGTTGCGCAATTTAAATTTGCTAATACATGAGTTTTTCAAAATGTTAATATATATAGTTAAAAGCTTGCTTTTAATTTTGTTTCATCTGCTGAATAAAAACCCTTTAACCCACAAATATGCTGATGAGGGGGTTGATATGCAGAGCCTTAATAGCATGCTCTGATGAAATAATTGTCTGATGTAAATTGCGGCTAGATATTGGTTAAAATCTCAACAATCGTTTTATTAGTGGTACCAATGCAGAGAAGGAGAGAGTGCGGCTTCATCCTGTTATTAAATCGACTCATCCGATCTAACTTACAAGTTTCAGACATTATGGTGTTGCTGCCACATGGAGAGGGGGAGTTACAGTGTAAAACATTCAGAAATTAAAGTTGATGTTGCCAAAAATGTTATACTTGTTGATCTTCAGCTTTATATTTCTTCTAAATTATTGCTTAATGATATTAACTCTCCATAAAATTATGTCATTTATATTATTGCATCCTGATGTAATTTCAATGTTGTTTAATATTTCATCTAATATTACTTTGGTACATAAAGGTATTCATGGTTGACTTTGTGACAGAAACCAGCCAGGATTTTATGGCAGCACAACAAGCCTACGTTACCATCCCTTCTTCACAATACTAAACAGCTGGAATGTTTAGAATTGGTTCAGGAGCCCTAAGAAGTAAGAGCAACAAAATACTTAAGCATATGAGGTACATTTTTACTATGGTTTCACATTTTACATCAATTCAGATTTATAATCATGGCTACAAAAAAAAATCTAACATTCAGATATGTGTCATGAGAGTCAAACTGGTTGATCTTTAGATACACTTAAGGGGCTTTGTTTGATACCTGCATACCTGCGAAGGTTGCTGAGAGCATCAGTCATGGTGTTGCAACATTTCAGTAGAGCTTCCAGACGTTGAGGCTCCTCTTTTAGGAACTTAACCGCTTCCACCTCCACCCTCAGCACCACGCGCATCTTACTCTGTAAGCTCGGGAACTGGTCTGTAGGAGAGCGAGAAGAAGCGATAACTGAGGAGAGAAGATTCGGTATAAAAGCATGAATACAGAGAATGGTTTGAACAAAATATGTCATCATTATTCAATACTTTAAATTGATGGGTCTCAGCAAAACAAAGAGCCTGCTAGATGCGGCGTAACTGAGTAATATAAAACAGTCTGCTCTTAGTCACATTCAAATGATCAGAGATGGAGAACCACAGGGTTTTATGCTTGGACCACTTTTTAAACTTTTTTTTAAAAAAAGCCCCCTAAAAAGACTGAGTGCTCAATTATGGCTTTTTTTTTCTGTAATGGGATTGAACAGGTCGGTTTAAGCTGTGAAGAATAAATTGGAATAATAATAAAAAAGTTAAAATTTTCATGATCTTGCCCTTAGTGGACTTTTTGAGTTTTCATTTACATTTTTATGTCATTCTGTTTTCTTGGTAATTGTTTCTTTTCCAATTATGTCTCATAGTAGTTGTTTTCTAGTTTTATTTAAGCAGTGTTGTGTTTTTTGAGTTACTCTCTGTTTTCCCCTTGTGCCTGTCTCCTTTCCCCAAGCTCCTATCCACACCTGCACCATATCAGCTGATTACCCTAGAGTTGTTCTGTCTCCCATATATACTCTCTCTGTGTTTATTTTTTATTTTTTTTTATATTTAGTTCCTGGATTTTGCCTCTGTAGCCTTTGGAACTGTTATTAAATCAGCAAAGCTCATCCCTGCTGCCTCTTCTCTGCATTTGGGTCCTTACTAACTTCCACTAAACCTGACAAGAATTCTATCAAACATCTCAATTTCAGCTCTGATCTTCCAAAGGTTTATAAACACATAATTAATCCAATGGACCTCTTAAACAAAATATTTATTTAATATCTTCTCAAAAAAATCTAAGCCATCATCTAGAAACCCCCAAACACCCAGAAACAAGCATTCATACAATTCTGTTTTTATAGGTATTTACTAAATTTTGTTGGTACAACCGGGAAACTATTCAGATTAAATCAAATTCCTTACCTAAGTATATTATGATGAACAGAGTGAAAGAGTGAGCAGATGGTACAGTAAACAAAGAAAGCCTTGCTTACAGAAATAGCTCAAAGTATGGTTCTACTTTACAAATGTGAAGCAGTATTTGCGCTGCAAATTGCAAGGATATTGCTAGGAAACTGGAGAGAATAATATTCTGTGCCATCAACAACTTATATTATTGATGGAATTGATGGAATTAAGCTTGTTTTTAGTGCTTGATCCTGTTTCCCTCCCTGACAGCTTTTACTCTGATTACCTGTATGTGCTCTCAAGCTGGTTTACAGTTACTTATTTTAACATGGACGTTATTTATGGATCAGTTATTCTATGTTCCTTTTATATGTCTGATTCTGGCTCAAGGCTGCTCCAGCTGAGCCTGGTTCTGCTGGAGGTTTCCTCCTATTAAACGGGATTTTTTTTTTCTCTCCACTGTCGCAGCATGCATGCTTAGTATGCGAGATTGCCCCCAAATGAATGACATAATGCAAACAGACCTTCTGTTGGCATTTGCTCTTCCAGGAGGAAAAAATCCTGCAAAGTCAATTAGTTGATTCAATAATCTGGGTTTTCTTTAGGCAAAATAAATATGAATAATTTTTTGTGTCTAATTTGACTGAATTGTTTTTACACTGCATGAGATGACATGTGTTGTGAATTGGCACAATATAAATCAACGGAAATTAATTAAATAGACCAGGTTTACATTTTTGCTGTTTAAAACAATATTGTACCATGTACATATTTACATTCATGAGAAACAAAAGAAGAGACAAAGATGGTTGAAGCACAATAAAGACTATGTTCAATGCTAAACAAAACTTAAACTTGAGCGCAGTTGGGATGACAGAGGACCCATCAGTAAAGTGAAAGAACCCAAGAGTATATTTTTCTAACAAGATTCTGCACTGGTGAGAATTAACAGATTAACAGCTGTGGACGAACTTCAGAATACCTCATTAATACTCAGAGTCAAACACAGGTCAAGGCAGCAGGAGGAGAGGCCAAAATGGAAATTATATGAACAGCAATTAAAGGGTAAGTAGACTCATGAATATGAATGATTCTTACTTTGCATAACAGTTTTTAATGGACAGCACTGACCACATCTAAACTATAACCTTCAACTAAAAGTCACATATGTTAACATTTCTATTAATTAGATTTTTAATACTCATTTATTAAAATCATATGATTTTTTTCTTTTATAAGCAAATAAGAAGAATTAGTTTCCCTTGTTAAGGTATAAACACGCCTATAACTTTTTCAGACTTTGTCATGTTTTGACTGCAAACTTTAATCAGTTTGTTATGCTATAAGAAAGACCACCGTGTTACTATCAGGTTAAAAGAAAAAAAAAATGTATGATTTTAAAGTCTTCTACAAATAAAATGCTAGAGAGTAAATCTCAGTTTAATTGATGAAACCATGTCTAACCTTCCACTTTCAGAAGCAGCCTAATTAGTAAGCCAAGTCCACCTGGGTGAAAATTAATCTCCAGATAAATTAAAAAGGTGAGAAGAAAATAGAAAAAAAAAACATGCCAAAAAAGCCAAAGTCCAATTTGGAACATTTTGCAAATGTTGGAAACATGGTGTGATATCACTCTAACACGGCACATCAACCTAAACACAACATCCACACCATGAAACACGCACGATAAATAGATGTTATCTTCAGCAAACCCAGAAAATCCTTGTTAAAAGCTGTAAAACACTTTTGATGTGTTGGGTAATTCAAATCAGGATACCAACCCTAAACATAGAAAAAGATATGATTTTATTCCCAAGCACATTCATTAATCAAATAGTCCCATTAATAACCAGACCTAAAATCCTTTATATAGCTGGGGCAAAAGGTAAAAGTTTAACTTCATACATGCTCTCCACCTAATCTAGTCGAATCTAATCTGACTAGGCTTGAGATATTTCCACTGTAAAATATCATTTTCTAGATATGCAAAGCTGGTAGAGACACAACCTAAGACCACTGACTATTAGTATTTTCCTGTATGTCAGTTTGGCAGATATGAAGGATTGCTTCAATACACCAATATGATATATTTTTCTCTGCACCACTCCTGAGGCCAAACACTCCAATAGCATGAAGCTACCACCCCATATTTCAAAGCCAGGATTGTTATTTTTTCTCAGGCTTCTATTCCTTACAATGCAGTAATGACCACTACTGTATGCATGTGCAAACTCTGGCTTTTCATATTGCTATTAGAGTCATTGCTCATTTCTTTTGCACTTCTTTCTCACTTGCATGCCTGTGAGCGTACAGCACATGTTTAACTGTAGAAAACAACACACTCATACTTCCTTCAGATAGCATATTCACTAAGCAGCTCTGTGTTAATATTAACATTCACAATAAATATAATATAATGGATGGCCATTTGTGCATCTTCTAGGTTTGGTAATAAATGTTTAATCAGATGAATGAGGCACCTATAGGCATCTGGGAATTGCACAAAAGTGTAAACCGACTTTTTGAGAAGCAGTTCTCCAATATCCTGTCTGATTTTTCAAACAAGAAAATGAATGGAAGGTGGACAAGTCCTTACATAATCATGTGTGCTTTCTAAAACCAGTTAACTGCAGTCATCTTGTTGTATTTTTTTGTTTCTATTGAATGAAAATCCATTTTAAGACAGGTTTTAATCAGATACGACACTTAGTAAGAAAGAGGGATACTTGTCCACTGTGCAGCGAATCTGAACTTCAGGCTGTAGTGGTGATCTACTAATGATTTACCGTGCTGTATGATAAAAAACAAAAACCTAGCACCTACTTTTGAGGTCAGTAAGAGTCTCTCCCAACATCCTCAGCTCTTTGCTCTTCTGCTCCACATCCTGCTCTGTCACCAGGCCGTGGTTAACGGATGAGTTCCTCTGCAGCTCCTCCACTGATTTCTCCAGGTCGCTGTTTAAAAACAAACCCAACACCCTCAGGGAAAAAATGTGATTCAGTGTTTGAGATGACACCTCGACAGCATACAACTTTCTAGCATGAATTTCTAATCACACCGCTATAAAGTTATTTTGCAGCTGAGTTGCTAAATGTTCAACCATGACTACGGACAACTGGATTAACAGAGAAAAGAAGCTAATTAGAAGACACCGTACTCTCCAGAGTCTACATGATCATTGAGACGTACAAGGCAAAGAAAACAAACACACCTTCAAAAAAAATAAAGTAAACTCTGTACACCACATGACAAAAAAAGGCCATAAATGGCCGGATCTGCATTCCTACAGCACAGATAATCTTTGTCATCTTAAAAAAGAAACTTTCCTACTTCAAATTTCAATTTAGAAGTTCTGGCACGCTGAAACATGTTTCTCCACTTCTTCCTTCCATCAAATTTTCACCCACTTAAAAAAACCTTAAGAGTAGTGTTTGGAATAATACAAATTATGAAATCTTAAGTGGTGTGAATACTGTTGCAAAAAGTATAAAAAATAGATTGAACACTGGCTAATTAAATATACAACATAAATATTATGAAAAGATCATTTTAAATAAGACATTGCAAAAGTCTTTCTGGATTAACTATTCTCTACGAACTGGTGTCCATTGATCGGGCTCTGAACTCACTGCAGTTGCTGGATGAGGAGTTCTTCCTGGTTCAGGTACTTCAGCCTCTCCTCCTCCACTAAGAGGCGCTGTCTCTGCAGTGGGTCCTCTTGGGGCCGCATGGCGTCCAGCATCATCAGGCTCAGTTCAGACTCCGTTTGACGCAGTAGAGACAGAACTGAGTCCTGGTTCTCCAGCTGACAAACCAATGTTTTGTTATTTGTAAGTAAAACACACTTAAAGAAAAGAAATTAAAAAGTGGATTATACATATTTCTAGTTTATGTAAAAAAAATCATTAGGTTTGAAATATTAAGAGCATTTGGCTAAGAAGTTTCCCTTATGTTGCACCATGGGCCTGATCGCCAAAGATTCCGAAAAAAGAGTAGCTAAATTTTTTTTTTTTTACAAACTAAATGATTTTATTCCTAAAGTTTTGCAGTTTTGACATACTCTCAAGAAGTTGCAACAAAAAAGCATTCCCAATATGCAGGAGCTACTTTCTGTCCACATTTACCTGCATGTTGCGTAGCTGCGACAGCTGCTTGCGCAGGGCGTTGGTGTTCTGCTGCAGTCCTTGAAGGTGTTGCTGCATCTGCATACGGGACACGGCCACCGGCTGGTTGGCTCCTGAACACGGAGGTGGCATCAGGGCCAGAGGAGCAGACGGAGTAAGAGCTGCCCCAGGTAAATAAAAATTTAGGATAGTCAGCACTCCATCAACTTTTAGTCTTTGGTTCTTTCTGAGGAAAATTTCAGAGCTCATAGAAATGGTCCCTCAGTAAAGGTTTGGGCAAAAAAAAAAACGACCTCTGATTCGTTCGATTGTTAAAAATGGGTATTTAATTTACTGAAAGCAGAATTTAGTGGTTTAAGTATTTAAAAGGGACAACATCTATCAGCTCTGAAGAACAGGAGGGGACCCTACTGTAGACTGTACAATAAACAAGATGGGAAGGCTTCAGGGACAAATATGTCAATAATGAAAAACATTTTTCAAGTGTCTCATTATAAATCATCCCAAGACAAGCAAAATACAAAAGACTTTTCCAATAGGAAAATCCTCTGAAATGACAATGACAGCAGAGCTCCCACAGTAATTACTGTGCCGGGTTACATAAATCATGCAAAAGAGGAACATGGAAAGGAACTTGAGTTGCATTTAATCTGAACATATAAAACAAAGAAAAGCTTTAAATCAAGGTAGGATGACATTCTCTAACTGACCAAAGAATGTATGATAAAAGCTTTAACAAGGAAGGAAGGAAGGAAGGAAGGAAGGAAGGAAGGAAGGAAGGAAGGAAGGAAGGAAGGAAGGAAGGAAGGAAGGAAGGAAGGAAGGAAGGAAGGAAGGAAGGAAGGAAGGAAGGAAGGAAGGAAGGAAGGAAGGAAGGAAGGAAGGAAGGAAGGAAGGAACCTGTTGAATTAAACTTCTGAAAGCGTATAGAACTGTTGATTAAATATTCATTATGCACAGCAAATTTTCTATTTTTACTAGTTTAGTATCAGCTTAAACCAAAACAATTACAGTCATATAAAAAGTTTGGGCACCCCTATTTATCTTAATTATTTTTATTTCTAAATATTTGAGTGTTTGCAACAGCTTTCAGTTTGATATATCTAAGAACTAATGGACACAGTAATATTTCAGTATTAAATTGAGGTTTGCTGGACTAACAGAAAATGTGCATTAAAAAAAATAATTTTTATTGATTTGAATACCCCTAATTACTTTTCACTGACTTACTGAAACACAAAATTGGTTTGGTAACTGCATTAAGATTTGAACTTCATAGCCAGGTGAATCCAATCATGAGAAAATGTATTTAAGGTGGCCAGTTGCAAGTTGATTTGTTTGAATCTCCTCTGAAGATTCATCATGTGCACATTGAAAAACCTCCATTAAAATCCTTGGACACAGCTTTCCGAACAGCCAGCTTTTTTATCAGTGACCTCTTATGGTTCACCCTACTTTTAGAAAGTGTCACTGACTGTTTGGACAACTGTCAAATCTGCTGTGTTCCCTTTTGTGGTGTAAGCCATAGCAATTTTTGGGTGAAATTTTTCTTACATTCAATTTTATGTCTGAGAAACAGAATTTTGAATTTGGGTTAAAAAAAAAAAAACTCTTATCCCTGGGGAAGGATTGTGAGTTTTAATTATTAAGTTGATAAATGATGTACTACTTTACAGAGATGCACCTTCAATTGCAATGTAACAAACCAACTATTTATGTTATATTTCTCTAACTGTGACTGGCTGGATGTGCTCTCCTCATCCTCTGACATGGGAGTTGGCTCAGAGCGGGGCCGCCTTTTACAGCTGCTTTTTGTATCTCTGCTTCTCTCTCCTTGAACTCCAGTCAGCCTCGGCAGATGACCGCTCACACTCAGCCTGGTTCTGCTGGAGGTTTCTTCCTGTTAAAAGGGAGTTTTTTCTCTCCACTGTCGCTACAAGCATGCTTACTGTGAGGGATTGCATTCAATGCAATCAACTGGTTTTCCTTAGATAGAAAACTTTGAATCAATTTGACTGTATGATCTGGTGAACTATAAAATGCCTTGAGATGACGTGTTGTGAATTGGTGCTATAGAAATAAACTGAATTAAATTGCATTGAATTAACAATGAAATCTATAGATAGTCATATCTACCAACGTACGAAACTCAACACAAAAATTGCACACAAAAAAAAATCACAAAAAAGCTAAGTTAATGCAACTCAATGAAATCTACTATTAACACACAAAAACAACAGAGAACTGAAGGAGAACAATTGTCAGAGAGGCAGGTTATTCAAGACAACACAGGGAACATATGTAGACCATTTAAATGGAACTCCAGGAAGAGAATAATGATATGGGATTTAGGTTGGGGCAGACAGGAGAACATTTTTTAGACACTCGAGGAAAACAAACTGTAGCTACCTTTCTTTTTTTTAGTTTGTCCAGCTAAAACAAAATGAGTAGCGGTTACAAAAAAACCCAGCAGTACAAAAAAAGCAACAAAAAAAACAAAACACAGCCATTAAAATCAATCACATATGAACTAAGTTTATAATAATGAAACAGCAGGTGGTATAAAAGGAAAAGAAAGCTCATTTGTGTGGCCAGCAGGAGGCAGCAGTGATGAGCAAGGAAAGTTTGATGAGGTGCAGCAGGGGTGAAAACTTACGGTCATTTCCTGAACAGTCACTGGCCGACTCAAGCTTCTCTCTGCAAGACAGAAATGTCCAAGTATTTAACTTCACATTAGGACAATGGCCATTTCAAAGGTGTAATTTCTTTTATCTGTTATTTGTTCTGCAATATATGGTTATAAAAAGTAAGCAAAAAGCAGAATATTTAACGCCTTTATATTTTAACACCTAATGCCCCAATAGAAATATGTGGTTTATCTTGCCAAAAAAAAAACCTGGATTTTTCCTCTTGCTTAATCCAAAGGAGAAACAAAAAAGCAACAACTTGATGAATTTGTGATATATAAATCAACTGAACTCCATTAAGTTGAGATTAATTGAGTTAAATATTTCACACCCAACTATCTAGAAATTACCATTCAGTGTTAGTTAGTGTTCTGAAGTTGTCAGACAGTCGGGCAAATGAATCAGAAAATCATGTCATTAGGATCACTTTCCGTCTCAAGCATTCAAAATGCTGAAGAAAGTGAAACATTTGTATTGAGCAGCCTGATATTACATATGATGGATTGTATTTACCAACCAAAGCTCTTCATTTATGACTGCATTACATGTATTAGCTAAACAAATAAAAGCAGAAAAAAATGAATTCATTGCCTGCATTACAATTACTATTTAGAATTTTTTAAGAAAATAGAAAGTGGATTAATGTATAATGTATTTATTGATAGTGTGGAGCAGGTCTACTTTGAGTGTAGGACACATGTGGATGGTGACTTTTGAACGTGTGCCACTGGTGTAATCTAGTGGACTATTAAATATGATCTACATATGGTGGATATCAGTTAGGTTACAAAATAAGACTTAAAATTTTACAAATCATAAATATCTGATTTATTAGGGATGGTTTTCTGATGAAAAAAGTCCATGAAAAGTGCATGAATCCATCAAAGCATAATTCGCAAGCTGCTTGAACAAAGCTTGTAAAGTTCAGTTTAGACAACTGGACGTCAAGTTTTCTAGTACTTCTTTCACTGCCTGGAACACCCATTTAAACGTGGGAACGATCAGCTTTTAGGGGCAGTGGGAGCAGCTCCCTGACGCATGTCTACTCAAGTTAAACGACTCCGCAAGTCACCGGTGTTAAAATCACCTCGGCTTTGATCTGCATGCTGCGAGAACACCAGACCCAGGTTGACCCGCTAAATTACGTGACACCATTAATTCCAACATAAGGACGTCACACAGCGAGCCAGCCGCTTCTGATCTAACAAGCAGAAACAGCTCTGTTAACATTCGATAAACATGACTCAGCACTGGAAAGAGGGATTCGGATAGATAAAAGAGCAAAACAATAAATAACACTGGCTACGCTCTGGCGTCCTTACTTGTTGCGCTCCATCATTTACTTCCCTGATTTCTGTCGCACTGTCAACATCATCAATGCCCACCTTTTGTTCGACCTAATTGTTACACCTACAGTATATTAATCTCAGTGCTCCCCACCAATTGTTAGAACTGAAGAAGCCTCTAGGATGAGAGGCAAACTTCTTCTGGAGAACTTCACATCCAGTTGCCTAAACTGAACTTTTCAAGCTTGAGCATGACCTGGATGACTATCATACAAGGTTTATGTAAACACACAAGCTTACTCTTTTGCTTATCTGTGTTTAACTTACGGACTTTCTGCTTCTGGCGCTCTGGTTAGAACTCTCTGCAGCAGCCCCGTCAGACTTGCAATCTGCTTTTCCATCGCCTCCATTCGCTCCCTGGATTAAAACCAAAAATACCAAGATACTGTGATTAACAGACCTTTAGGGAATATTTTATACAGGGCTAGAAACAAAATGATTCAATAAGGTAAAACTTCTAAATCAAATCTATCACAAACTCACTGTAGAAAAAAATGTCATAAAATTAAATATTTGTAGTTTGTTTTTAACTAATGATTGTTAAACTTATACCATAAACAAGTATTTATATATATATATATATATATATATATATATATATATATATATATATATATATATATATATATATATATATATATATATATATATATATATATATATATATTTATATTATACTATATATATATGTGTGTGTGTGTGTGTGTGTCTAGAGAGAGATCTTTTATTAATACTTCATTATTAATATATCAATAGTAGAGTAATATGCTATATATTTTTATATTATTATCACCCTAAACTATTCAATAAGAACAAAAGGATTTAATACACTCAAACTTTTCACATTAACCCGATGCATTTGTCAAATAGAAATGTTGCCTCAGCTTGGTCGTCTTAAGTAGTTTTTAAACGTGTAAAAACAAAAGTAACAAAAAAAAAAAATAGGAATAAATAGATTAGGGTTAATATTCAACTTCAGATTTATTTTCATTGGATATTTCACAAGTTCAAGGCAATAAAAAGCAGATTTCAATTAGCCATAAGAGCTTGAAATAGTAATATGGTGATATATACAGATATTTGATGAGCAGTGCATAAAACTACTATTACTATATATACAATAGTGCAAAATACTGATTCCAGAAAATATGCTGTGTATAAAGGAGCCCCAAAAAAACCCCCTCTTGGCAGCAGGAATCTTTCACTAACAGAAAATTCAGCCCAAGTGATAAACTGGCTAGCTTCCCCAACACAACACCTACATCAATTTCCTGTATCACACCCTGAAACACTGGTTAGGATGCTCTGGATTGAGTCCTGGTATAGCTCACCAGCGCCATGTATCTATCCAGAGCTTCTTATCTGTAAACATGGTGACATATACTGTATGCTAAAGGATATTATCTAAGATGAAGGGAAAATAACTGAATTTTTGCAAGGGGATGACAAGATGACATGAAACTTAGTCTAGTTTCTGTTTTTGAAATGAACCTGCAGCATAAATTCTGCTTCTTCAGGCAGGTGACAAATATTTAAAGTAGAGAAAAAGATGTCCTGACTGTCCTATTTGGGGGAAGGGTGTAGCTTTACAGGCTGCAGCCACGTTGAAATGCATACTGTATGATCCACTGTCTTGTTGGTTCTAGTGAGGCAGGAATCATGTAGTTATTATCTATGAAAAACAGGTTTTAAATGGGTTTGAATAAAATATCCTGCATCAATAAAAACAGCTTCGGGTTGTGTTATCTACTGTTTACTCTTGTAAAGCTTCTGCAGTCTAAATGGAAACCTGTATCGCCTCAATACAAGCAGTAAAAACATCAACCGGGTGTTTTCGTAACCTCAATTCTGCAAAAAGGATATTATTTGAGTGTTTATTAATAAAGAAAAAGAGATGTTTACCTGTTGATTATCAGGATACTTAACACGATTTTTATAGCTGATTGTAGATAGTGCTGTAAAATATGTCACATAAATCATATCATGTAAATAACTTCAGCTGTCCTGCAGAATCTTCACAGTATATAGTTTTTTATCTGTTGACAGTGAGCAGTCAGGGTTTTATCAGCTTTATATTTCTATGAAAAATGTCAAATCAGTTCAATTTTAAATTCTATTAAGCATTTTGCTTGTTAACATGAATGGCAAAATGGTGAAATTTTATGGTAATAATTAACTTAATAACAAGGTCGTGATACAATAAAGGCAACTTTGCACAGTTTAAAATGAGTCAGCCTGTCTGAGCTATGACTCAGGATACGATGGCTGTTGGTTCTCTACTGATCTTCAAGGATTTATTTATTTATTTATTTTTTTTTAGAAACAGTACTCAGAACTGCCAGAAACATAGGATATTCTGAGAGCAGCTGTGGTGTGGACAGCAAACCCTTGTTTCTTTCTACAAAATGAAAATTTAGGACAGCTCACAACAAGGGAAAAGAAGGTCTAAGTGGGTACTAGCAAGATGTAGCTAATAAAAGATGCCATGTTTTTTTAGTGAAGTCAAGCAGCATGAACAGATCTATCTCAACCAACTATTGTAAACCATGTTAGCATGGGGCGACGTGAGACTCACCAAAAGCAACTTTAAATACAAAGGTGTCGACATTGTCTAACAGGTAATTCAATATCTATGTCCTTTAATGTATAACTGTCCTAAACCAAAGCAGCATTTATTGAACTCTGCACCCTTTTTTACTTATCAAATCTCATGCCTATCAGACAAAAAACATACGAAAATCTGTCAAAAAAAAAGTTATTTGAAAGGGTATGAATCTGAATGAAAAAAACTTTAGTTAAATGATTCCCTTTTGACTTTTCAGTGGAAATTTAATAGACCTACTACTAAGGTGTTAAACACATCACAGCCAGCAGGGTAATGTAGTGACATGGTAATCTAGTGGCTTTACAATTAAGCGTTAATACTCGTGCTTCAAAAGGAATCACTACACATGCATGTCTAAACGGCACCTGATATCACAGAAGCCTCATTATAGGAAAAATATCAAGACAAATCAAACAAAGAAGTAGATTCATTCAAATATTGTATAAACGGTTATGCTTGGCATTTCCTATATTGGTGATTCTATTTGACTGATTCCATAGACAGGAAACATCTTTGTTGTGTCACCTGCTGTTCAATGAGAACGTTTAAAAAGACACTGTTTAAATGCAAAAACTGTAGTGACTTTAAAGATAAAACTATTCAGCCACTTTGACTCATTTGAACGAAGCCTTATTATGACTTAAAATTTAGTTGAAATGCCATTTTACCCTGAAGAGGGTTTTGCTACACATGCAATGCTTATGACCATGGGGTGCTAGCTATGGTCAGCTATTTGTTTCCTAAAATGCCAGAAAATTACCGTTGATGTTGTTGTATTGTTATGAAATCTGAAAGTAATTCATAATTGACTAAATGTGCACTTGTTTCCAATGTTCAATTAATGATCACTCACAGTGCTTTGTGAAAATATTCTGCTCCCTTGAACTTTTCAACCGTTTGCCACATTTCAGGCATCAAACATAAAAATATGATATCGTAATTCTTTGTGAAGAATAAAAAAAATCTGGTACACAATCATGATGTGGAATGAGTTTTTTTAGATGTTTAAACTTTTTAACACATAAAAAACAGAAGAGTGGGGCATGGAAAATGTATCAGACTCTTTACTTTCAACAAACTCTCTCTAGAAGTTCAGTGATGATCTCTGAGTTATCTAATGTTGACCAAAATGACTGATGATGATAAAAATAATCCACCTGTGTATGATCAAGTGTTGGTATAAATGCACCTGATCTTTGATATTCTCAGGAGTCTGTTTTAACTGCAGCATCATAAAGAATCGAGGAACACATGAGGCAGGTTTGAGATAGTGATGTGGAGAAGTTTAAAGCTGGATTTGGATGCAAAAAAAGATATTCCAGGTTTTAAACACCCCAAAGAGCACTGTGCAAGTGATAGTATTGAATTGGAAAGAGTATCAGACCACTGCAAATCTACGAAGACCCGGCAGTCCCTCTAAATTTTCAGCTAAAAAAAGGAGAAGATTGATCAGAGATGCAGCCAAGAGCCCCTTGATCACTCCGGATGTACTGCAGAGATCTACAGCTGAGGTGGGAGAGTCTGTTCATGGGACAACTATCAGTCTGCACAAATCTGGCCTTAAGAAAGAAAGCCATTTCTTGAAGATGTTCATAAAAAGTGTTGTTTAAAGTTTGCTGCAAGCCACCTGGGAAAAACAGCAAACATGTTGAAGAAGGTGCTATGGTCAGATGAAACCAAATTCTAACTTTTGGCAACAATGTACGTTTGGCCGGTGTAAAACTGAAATTGATGGGTCCTAAATACAGGACCATTCTGGAAGGAAACCTGTGGCATTCTGCAAAAGACCTGAGACTGGGACGGAGATTTATCTTCGAACAAGACTATGATCCAAAACAGAGAGCAAAACCAACAATGTAATGGTTCACAAATAAACATATCCAGGTATTAGAATGGCCAAGTCAAAGTCCAGACCTGAGTCTAATCGACAATCTGTGGAAAGAGACGAAAAATTCGATGCAATCCAACCTCACTGAGCTCGAGCTGTTTGGCAAGAAAAAATTTCAGCCTCTGCATGTGCAAAACTGGTAGCCATACTGTACCTCAAGTGATTTTCTGCTGTAATCGAAGCAAAAGTTGGCACTACAGTATTAACTCAAAGGGGCTGCAGAATTGTTTCACACCCAATTTTTCAGTTTTCATTTGTTTATAAGTTTTGGATATCCAATATTTTTTTTCCACTGCATGATTGTGCGCCACTTGTTGTTGGTTCTTCACAGAGAATTACAATTTTATGTCTTTATGTCTGAACCCTGAAATGAGGCAAAGCATGGAAAAGCTCAAATGGGCTGAATATGTTTGCAAGGCACTGTAAGACCTTCAATAAAATGGATGCATTTACATTTCCTGCAGCCAGACAAAGTGACAGTTTATCAGCAAGCAGCTGGGCAGTTTTCAGCTTGAGCAGGTTAGCAGACACTGCCTAGATGGGCCCATTACATTCCAGATTAGGCAGAGAACATTGTTACAACTTAAGTTTATAAGTAATTAATCTGTTCTATAATCTCTAAAGTAACTAACACACCAGTGTCAATTTGGGACATGAAATTAAGGCAGAGAGACAGGAAAAAGTGTGTTAGCAGTGAAAAAGAGAAGAAGAAGGAGGAAGAGGTAGATAGTGATGGACAGAATGAAAAGAAGGTTTGCAAGATTTGCAATAAGTATTTCCATAGACTTATATCAGTCTCTTGAGATCCGAGTCCAACCCTTGGACTCGGATCTCAAGATTCTTGTTTAGTAAACTTTAATAAATTGAATTTAAAGACTCAACAAGATTTTATTTCTGGCATCAACAAATACATACAGCACACACATAGTTGTAATTGTTAAATTTAAAACACAATTTTATACATCAACTAAATTGATTATATAAAGATGATGGCTCCAATTGTGTCTCTTGTTCAATCTGGTTAAAGGCTTCTACAAAAGGAATATTCCAACTATTATTTGTGTAGAACATATCAGGTAGTTGATCATAAAGTCAAATGTTTTTATTGACAATATCAAGGCCACATTAAATATTGTCCGGATCCAGATCTTCGGCTTCTTTTTTTGCTTTATTCTTTTGTTAATTCTTTAGCATCTCAACCAGTTGTGCTGTGGTCACCGGGCTTAGTCAGAGAAAAGATATTCTATCTCTACACCTCAATATGAACAAAACTATTTTGCTAAATTAGAAAAGAAATTCTTAAATAGGCCAAATGTTAAATGTTCAATATCATTTGACTAAATTATATCTTTATAGATTCTATTCAGTGGCAACAGCCTGCTAACCTTGAGCTGCAAGCTGGATTGTCGCGATTTCTGAGTTTTCAGTCTCACACTGTAGAACTCAACTGAGTTCCACATATATCAATCTGGCTACTGCCAGGTTAATCAATCTTTGGGAATTGGGTTGGATTGGGACTTAATCAGGAAACTAGGATGGTCACACCTGCTGGTCTGCTGTCAAATTGTAAAAAATGCTGGAGCCCTTTTGAAATTGAGTGACATCTTCCTAAACTTCCTAATCTAAATAAATGAAAATTATACTGACTGCACAGTAACTTAATTGAACATAGGCTTAGACTCAACTTTATTATCTCCTCCAGGGAAATTCTGGTTCCAGTTGCTTATATAGAGTACAATGAGTTAAAGCAAGATGCCATTAAAGATAAAAATACGAGAGACAATATAAAAAGAGTGTATATAATACAAAAGAGAAAAAAAAAGAAAAGGTGTAATGTCCTTGAATATGTTTCCCTTTGACATACAAATATCTGCACAGTAGAGAGGTGAGGGAAGACTACATAGTAGTTGACTTGGGATATTGCATTTGTACTGCAGAAATGTATTGAAAATATAAATAAGTGAAAATTATACAGTAATTTATTTGTATTATGTGTTACGGCATGTGTTATTGCACAGTGAGAGAGAAAAATATTGCACATGAGTGACAATAGATAATGTTTTGCATAAGATGTCCAAGAAGGGGGGTTCTGACCCTTGTCCCTCTTCCTATCAACTAGTCCTTCCCATGTCAGTTTTACAAACTTACATTCTCACCTAAAAAGTAGTTTGTTTTTTGTTTCAGAAAGCTTACTATATTACCATATTAGTTTTTACTTCCAGTTTTTTGCCACAGTCATGTCACGTTGGGTGGAAATTGGTTGAGAACCCAAATGCAGAGATAAGTAGGCATTTGGTAGACTTGTACATTTAATGCAATTTAGATGGCAACAGAAACACAAATCCAGGAATAAGAATAATAATCTAGAAATGGGAACCAGGAGACGCCGGTGAGAAACACATATGAGGATCGAAGGAAACCAGCACAGAGGAAGTTTACGGGAAGAGTATATATGGGAGACTGAAGAAAGATTGGAGTAATCAGCTCATAGGGTGCAGGTGTGAATGGGAGCAACTAGAAACTAGGGGAAAGGAGACTGGCACAAGAGGGCAAGAGAGAGCAACACAAAAAACACAACACCTCTTATATATAACTATCAAATGACTCCAAAAACACAAACAGAAAATAAATGAATTACTGAAAAGCACAGAATGACATAAATAAAAATGTTAATTCAAACTCAAAAAGAAACCTAAACAGAACCAAAAATTCCACAAAGGGCAGGAACAGCTCACCCTTTGAAAAGTAAACTTGCAAATGTTGGGACTGTCTCTGTTTCTAAACCTCTCCACAGCCAAATCAAAGCAACATATTTCAATGTTTATTATTTAGCATAATCCAACAGCATTTTTTTTTTTATCAATTTCAGGTAAGATTGTAAAAGCAGCAAAAATATTCATCCAAAAAATCCATTACTCTTCAGATTAAACCATCTCACTATGAATCAGAGGGAAAAGAGCTTAACAGTGACAAAAGGACCTACCAAACACAGAAATAATATGGAAACAGTTGATAAAGTATAAACCAAGCAACAAAACATTATCGAGATGTTCAGGGATATGTGTATAGCTCATAAGTAAACACTATGAATGCAGGAAATATTTTCTCTGTATGTGATATGAATCTGAACAGGCTCCATATCAGCCTACCTACCTGGTCTCTGTCTCATTCCCAATAAGTGGTGAACCGAAGCCTCCGGCGCCTCCTCCTCCATCTCCTCCTCCGATCAGACAGAGTTGTTCTGCTGTCAAGCCCAATCCTGGCCCCTGGCCCCGGGCTTTGGGGCTGTCCCCAAACACAGAGGAAGTAACAGAATCCCTTCTCAAACTCTGCCTCCCAGGAGAGCCCCGAGTTGACATAGTTGCCCCGTAGGAATCCCTCATATCAGGTATCTTCTGGGGGGAAGAGGGTGGTGGAACCCTCAGTCCCATTGCCAACATGGAAGCTGTGTAGGCGTCACTGTAGAGGGGCCCTCCAGGCCTGTAGAGAACACCACTTTCCATTAACTCTCCCTGTAATGCTGCAGCAGTGTAGGAGGTGAGTGACCGAACTGATCCAGGACCTGGTCCTCCTCCGCGGCGGTATAGAGAGGCGTAAGGGTCGGCTCGAGCTGGCAGAGGAGAATGAGGACCTCCTGCAAGGCTAAGACGGCTTGTGTCTGGGCCTAGAGCATATGGGTCTGCGTAAATACCACCTCCATCTCCTCGTAGCAGCACCATACTCCTGGAACCTCCCACCTCATCGTCAGGCTTCACATCTCTACGCTCCAGGATGGCACTGGAGGAGGTGCAGAAGGCTGACTGGGTGTGGTGGGGCTGGTGAAGCTGGGGCTGCTGAAGGGGGGAGGAGTGGTGGGACTGGGAGTGTGGGTGAGGTAGGGAGTGGGTATGGTGGGGCGGGCCAGCATAAGAAGAAGGCCTCCCAGAGCTGTAGAGCAGTCGGGCTCGAGACGGCGATCCTTGAGGAGGCGAAGCAGAGGAGGAAGAATGCTGGGAAGACATGGCAGGGTTGCCAAGGCGACGGTTTGATGGAGATTCCTGGGGAGCATGCACCATTTCCCTCTGGAAGAAAATTGAAAAACAGATGTACTAATAGTTAGGTCTCTTAATATACTGGACCGTAATACAAGAAATTTGATACAGAGGTACGTAAACCCCAGCAGCTGATAAAACATATGACATCACAAGACAGTAACTTATTAGTAATTTTTTTGACCTCCGTTATATTCAAAGTCCTTAACTCAGATTAAAAATCATTATGTATATTTTCTTTTCTTATATAAAAAATATAAAAAGATTAGATTTTTATTTTCTTATGACGCCAAAGAAATGCTGTTGATCTAAGTTTGCTGTTGGTCAACAGCCAGTCTTTCACAAAAATAAATAAAAATAAAAGGAATTGCAAAAGAAGTTGATTATTCAAACAGACTTAAAATAAAAAATAAAAATAGGAAATTCAGTGGAAGGAAAAAAGTTTGAGAGAAAAAAAGTGTACAAGCAATCTGAATTGGCCTATTCAAGAGTTGGGGAGAAATCCACAATGTATTGACCATGGCTGTAGTCAACTCTTCACAATACAGACACATCCAGGACAACATTTATCATATTTATTGTGTTAGTGATGAACCAGAAACAACATTATAAACGTCTTTCATAAGCTAGGACGAGAGAATAATTTAATGTAAATGTATTTTGGGTAGAATTATATTATTTAATGCCAATATGAATTTTAAACACATTCCCAGTATTACAATATAGATTACAGTCTTTGTTTACAGTGTTGTCAATTGAGGATTTGGGAAAAGGAACCTGAAAAAAGTAATCCCTGCAGTCTCAGATTTTAGCATCTGATTAATAAAAAAGAGAATGCTGCACGTACTGTAGACCATGTAGGACGCACAACAGCTCAGCTTGGACATGAGTAACAAAAAAATCCTAATAGGATGATAAAAAAAAAAAAAAAAGAATTATCTGCAATTTCTACAAGGGTTTATCCAAAGTTAGATGTTTTGGCCATAGTGTTCAGCCCTTAGCCGAGCTTAGGGCTTAGAAAAAAACGGCATAAGTTGCAGCCCAAAGCCTTGTTTTCAGATAGAAGTAAAGTTTCTGTTTACATTTTATTTGGAAATCTATGTTCATAAGTCTAAAGAACAAGGAGAGCCACAGAATCTATGTGGCCTGAAGTTAAGTGAAAAGTTTTCTATAATCAGTGATTATTCTTCAATGGATTTTATCCTGCGTTAATTCAGAGAAGCCTTCTGAGAGGCATTTAAAGAGTCTTTCATGGTGTCCTCAGATGCCAAGCCTGATGGAGAGAATTTAATTTTCCAGCAGTATGTTTCACCTTCACAGATGAGAAGTAGGCTACCAATAAGTACGACTGTTTCATTGGCCATAAAACTGGTAATACCTGGGCTCCAGAGAGAACCAATTGTAATGTGTAGAGCAGAGATTCCCAAACTTTTCTGCTTCTGACCCACAGAAAAGTAAAATATAAAACCTATGGAACTATTAGTTTTTTAAAACATAAATTCCTCATTGGTGTCATAGTAAAAAACAACAACATAAACAACCAATGTATTTGGTTTTGTGTGTTTATAATTGATGTCTTAGCGTTAAACATATAAATATGCTTTACCGTTATAATTTGTAGTGTTTCGCTTTATTTGTGAATCTCAAGAACAATGCTTTTGTTTATCTGTTTATCCGTGATTTTCCCAAATGGAATCCTGACCCCACACTTTTGGAATTGCTGATCGTTAACCCCCGGTTGGTGTCATTTGGTACCAGGCCACACAAAAAGAATACATAATTTCCATTATTTCCAACTGATTGATTGAATGATGAATGTTGCTCTGAATTGTGTTTTATTTTGAAATATTACTAGATTATCTCTATTACAGTACATCCATCTAGTGGCCACGACACCATAACTCACAAGATAAATGGCCTGTACTTCTATAGTGCTGTTCGAGTTAGGAGATTTGACCAAAGTTCCTTACTTTGGATTTAGCCATTCTCGCACAGATGATGGCAAGCTACATTGAAGCCACAGCTGCCCTGACTGAAGCCACTGACCACCATCAGAAGGAATCAGGCTGGAACCAATGACCCTTTGGTTGCAGGGAAAACTGTTGGATCCAATGCCACTGTCACCACATGATACCTCCCGCTTTAAAACCCCTCCATCTTGTTGTAGCAAAGCAAGCTCAGGGCTCCCACTGCTTTGCTGCTATTGTGAGTAGACAGTAGGCTGTTTTCATCCTCTTTCATCCATTGTGGGGTCTTCTTTTAAAGACATGTATAATGTTACCATAGCAGCCAAAGAGAACTACAGCTACAGACAGGTTCATGAAAATATTGTCTGACATTAAACCGGTTTATGGGCCCCCAAACTTTTTTGGGGCCACTGGTCTAGAAGACGATGGCATTGAAACAAAAAGTGCAGATGAGCAAAAAGTCACTATTAAAGGCTTCCTGAACACCTCAGCAGAGCTGCAGACTGATCACCTCTGTATCACTCTTCACTGATGCAGTAATTCATGCTAAAGTAGCCCAAAGTAAGCAATGGGTGCTTAAACTAAGCAAGCCTAGCTACATTTGTAGTAGTTTTATTAAATATTCAAATTTTCATTAAAAAAAATCAATAGTTGGGTTTCTATTAGCCAGAAGCCAAACAGAATCAAAAAATCCACAGATGTTTAGACAATGTGAGATGAAAAATGTAAGGATTTCACTTTTTTGAAATTGGATCACTAAATTTAATCAATTAATATCTAATTTAACTAATTAAGAAAATCCATATGATGCTTCCTTTTGTTTTTATTATTTTATTATTGACAGAGAAACTAAATAATTTAATCATTTGTAATATAATCAGATATAGATCATATTCATTTTACATTATTTCAAGACTTGGAGCAGATTTATAAATGTCTACAAGGCATACAAAGTAAACTAATTATATTCTCAGTCTGGGAAATGTCAGCTTTGCAGCTCAGTCTGTAGTTAATCAATGTTGTTATGATGTGTAACAGCAGCTGGGGGGAAAAACATGAGGTATCAAAAATAATAGCTCTGTTTATTTCTACATATACTTGTAACCAGTTCACCTAACTTGTTCAACCCAAGAAATAAATAAAAAAATCTGCAATAATCATTACTGTTACCATAGTTTGTAGGAAAACTGAATTTACTGAAATATTCTTAGTAGCTAAATTTCTTCTGGAAAGAAGTGCCCCTTCAATGCATTCAGATAATAACTCACTGACTGAAGATATAGAAAAACTCTCTTGATATCAGCCTAACATGTCAGAGAGGGAGGAAGCAAAGCTGAGCATGTCTGAAAGCAGCGGAGGGTGAACAGACTAGAGTAATGAATGAGGCAAGAAAACATGAAAAAAGGACAACGCTGTAATTGCTTATGACGCACAAGGCTATCTCCAGGAGACGGTGCAAATTGAAACGCCAATATTGCCACATAATAACCCTGAGAACTCCTGCAACAACACCCTGAGGACAGCCTCACAGCAGACATCTTCTACCTTGTAACTTAGCAACAGCTTCCCTCCTTAACTACACAGAGGACATGCCGACATCTTATTATCACCCTGTGATCCCTAAACTTTCTCCAGTGGTGTCGTTTTAAGCTGGCCGCTCTCCCTTTGAGCAAAATCTGCCAATCAATCTCCTTCCCAACCATCTTCTGCCCTCCAGGCACAGGCTCAGATTGGCCTCAGCAGTCCTGGTCATGCTTTTGTGCTCTGCAATCAGGGAATAATCTTGGCTATACTGGCAGGAGTTCAATAACTACCCCCCCAACTCCACACTGCGCACACACACCCCAGTCCTCACCTTGACAACAGGAGCAGCAGCCAATGTACTTCACACACATAAAACTGGAGGTAAGCCTGCCTGTTCGATAAGGCTGTAAAACGCTCTGAAGATTTCAGAGTAAAGCTGAAGGCGGCGGCGGATCCCATGGGAACAGCTGACCTCCAGAACATTAGCGGGACGCTGCAGTCCAGCCTCAGCGGCAGGCAGAAAAGCAATCAGACATCGGAGCAGGCAAACAAAAAAAAAAACAACTCTGAACTGTTGGGCTGCAAAAGAATCAGCAAACACTTTCTCCCTGAAGCTGATTCATTTAAACTGTTTAACATGCAGATTTTTTTTTTTTTACTGAATAAGCATGGCATATGTTTGCCTCAACACAACACAATTTATCTGTTTAAAACCCATTTTTTCCTGCAAGAATGAGATGATGTGATGGAAAGATATTAAACATTTATTTAATCACCACTTTGCAGTGATTGAATTTACACCAGTTTAACCTAAAAATATGAAAGATAAACAAGTGCAAGCTATGTTTTTGTTTTCTTGTAATGTTATTATGCCATCTTATTCATAATATGGCATAGAAACTGAATTCAGAGAACTGAGCATCAGGTAAATGAAAGCAGAGGATATTAAATGGATAGTTATGGAGGTTTCAATACTTTTAAAACTGAATCAGACTGGGTGGTGACTGGATGATCCAACAGCAGCTTTTCTAGAATGTAAAAAGTTGTAATACATTGTAATAAACAAGGACTAAGGTGAAGTTGGGCATCCAGCATTTGTAAACTTCTAAAGTTAAAAATATTTGAAAGGAATTCATCACTTTATACAGTATATTAACATTTCAGGTTGTAGGAATGCGAAGATCTTAGTCCCTGCGGTCAGATAAGTCAATCTTCTAGTGCGTCATCGTGGAACAGCTTCCTGCTTTATAGTCTGCTGGCATCTGGCCGAGTCAGCGGCGAAGATGTGACAGACGGGAACTGGTCCAGGAAAATAAGGTCATGTGATTCACAACTTCAACTCTGATGTATTATGTAACGGCAAACAGTATTTGTAAACACTGACACAGGGATGAGGAAAGGAGAGCATTTTGTGCCATCCCCATCGCAGTTTAGCACCCAAAAAACACCCAAAGTAATTTCTCTGTGGATATTACCCTGTTAGCTGAGTTATTTATGTTGATTCCAAAGTGTGAGCAGACCTCTTTAAAATCTTAAATCTTTTCATAATTTGGTTGACTGAACACTTACTCTCAGGTCTCCGTTAGCGATGTGGGGGTTATGGTGTCCGGGGTAAGTGCCGTAGATGGGCTCTTTGCAGTAAATCTTAATTACACAGCGGTCCTGAACATCCCGAGGGTCCTCCAGCTCATAAAAGACGTTACGAGTCTCATCTTTGATTAGCAGAGCTGTGCTGGGGGACCTGCAGATCAATGATTGTGGGGAAATAAAAAATCAATGATAAAGAGCCCCATGAAAGACAATTTCAGCACCATTTAGCTAATACTGTACAGTTATGGAGATAACTGGAAGGATGATGAGACGGTTAACAGGTAGATGCCTCCTGCCTAACATTTTAAGATTACTGTGTTTAGTGTACGAGAAAAGCAAGACTTTGATCTACACAGTTTGTCAGCTTACTAAAGTTGTGATTTCAAGTAGTTGCTGTAAACATGGTAGCAGATGATTAAAATATACATGGGATCTTTAGTTAAAAAAATAATTTCTTGAAAAATAAATTTAACAAGTTATAATGGTTATTAAATCTACAAGCTTTTCTTTTCTCTCCACAGTCTAGGTCAGTGAACTCTTAACTAACATCACAACCATAAACTTCTGTCCATCTTGCTAGAAATTGATAATTTTACACATAGCAGCTCTTAATGATTGTTTTTGTGGCCACAGGAATGGTTGTCAGCCTCCTTATGCAAAATTAAAAATGTTTGGTGGACAAATAAAACTAATTTAAATCGACTCCAACATGACATGATTTCACACCATGTTGAAACATGTCAAGGGATGTATCATGCTGTGGGGAAGCATGGTTTCTGTAACTTTTTTGCAGACCGACATTTCAGAAATAAGCTGTGCATTTGCAATCAGTTTCCCCTTCATTTGTACAACCATGTCTGTGAATTGGAACAGGAAGAAGGTCCAAAAATCTATTGTCTTGCCAGAGATTTAGGCCTCATATAATTGGACCATTACATCCTTATGATTCCTGTTTTTGTTTTCTGGCTAAAAGGGGCCCCGTTGACCAGTCCCGAGTATGCTGCAGCTTCTAACAGACTTTGTCCACCTTCTCTTCTGCTAAAAAAGCTCCCCTGTACCGTATTTTACCCTCTAAGCTTTTCTAATGATTCCCTCTTTGTTCTGTCTGTTCAGACATTGTTTAACATGGGATGTGATCATTCTTCCTCTACAATCAGATAAATTGAAAAGTGATATCAATGCCATAGAACTCAACAAACAACGGAGCTCATTTTGTCACTTATTTGGGATTCTATTTTGAAGCTCTTGTCTGAAGAGAGCAGAATTTGTTACATATACAATGATGAAGAGCTTTTTGTCTATTATATTAAAACCCAATGAAAACAAATATCCAGTCATAACAAAATTAAACCAAAAATGAACTGTAGCAATCTAAAACACAATCCAGAATAATACTTCTACTACACCAGAAACCTCGATAAATGAGATGCTGCTTTTTAGTATTTTTCTCTTTTATATTGTGGGATGTAAGAGCTGGAATTTTTTTCTGACGTAAATAATATTGTGGTATAATCTGAAGTTGGTCTCTCCTCTTATGCGTTGAAGCTATTGTTAGTTTTTAAGCTTTTCTCTGCTGACTCAAAACCCTCAGCAAATTAAAAAGAATCGCTCTTGGTCTGAATGAGGCTCAGAGCAAACAGCAGACTGAGTTGAGCTGAGGTATTTTGTCCATTTTTCAAACATATTAGTTTTGATGCAATCTTAACTGCTAGAACACTGAAGATTTGAACTTCAATCATGGCTGAACAGATCTGATGGTCCCCTACCAAAGCTGCAAACCATTTTCTTTGGAGAAATGCTTTTAAAATCCTTTAAATTTTGAAATAAACCAACCGTGTAAAACAAGCTTCATAATGTTTAGTTGTTTGCATATTTTTTTTGCCTTCCAATCATAGATAGATTTCTAAAGCTGGCACTAAATGAAGTGTAAATGTAGCCCTGCTGAGGCTCAAACAACATCTAAAACAGATCGATAAACATCTCAGTGGGCTAATAATCTACATGCACAGCTGTGAGTCATTCATACCTGAGCATAGCCATGGTCAGCCTCTGAGGGAACATGTGCACGATGAGGGCCCTCAGGGTGTCCAGGCTGGTCAGCTCGTGGGTCAGGTGCACCCTGCGAATCTCCTCCCCAAGCTGGAGGAACAGGATCCCTGCACAGATGGATGAAGAGTAGCAATGATGAAGATTCAGAATTTAAAAAAATAAAGAAAAGAATGATATCACTTTGAATTTCTAATTTATGTCCCATTATTTCCAGTTTGAAATATGATGGTGAGCTAGGAGAGGGAAATATTTAGCTTTGGTCTGATTTTGAGTATTTATAACTTAACAATGACAAACAAAAGCTCTGCCACAGGCTGAGATTTGGTTTGTAAAAAAAATATTCAGTGAAAGCATCATAAACTGTTCGGTAAATGGTCCTGACATAAATGCTAACAATCACAATGATTGAAGTGTCCCACTGTTTCAGTCTGCAACTAAATGCCTCAGCATTGTCCTCTTCAGAAGCTGGAGGGCTGCTGCTCAGGAGGTGAATTTGTTTCCTGACGAATCCATTAATCAGACATGACAGACGGTCTGACAGGATCATGTGGAGAAACACCGGTTTGCATTAAAAAACAATCAAATCTGTAGCTCAGATTCAGCCCAGAGTGAATGTGATTAGCTGCTGATGCTTTAGGTCAACCGGGTGATGGTGCAGCAGCAGGACTAAAACAAGTCATCACCAACTTGATCTTATGTCAAAATGCTGACTCTTTCAGACTGAATGAAGGGGCCAAAGGTCAGTGCTAAAAGGACAATCTCTATCCGCATTTAAAAGTAAAAAGAAGTATTATTACAGTTTAACAGGCTCAAAAATCAGCAATAAAAAATAGTCCTATTCTCTCAATTAATTGAAAGGAAAAAATAATAATAATGTAAATCTGACAAAATGTTTTAATCTAAAGGCTCCTAATATCAGTCAGTCCACCTGTTTAGAAATGGTTTGGTTCTATCTTTTTCGACATTTTCCCTCAATTCATCCTGACCAGAACCTTTTACCATTGAATTGTTGCTTTATTTGGGATCATTGTTGCGATTATGACCCATTTCAGATGAAACAGCAGCAATCGGATCATTTCCTTTATAAACCTGTTCAGTCGTTTTCCATCTCTCGTGTCATAAACCTTTATATTAATTAAGCTAGATAGGAGATATAGTTTTTAATCATTTGTGAGAGTTAGCATGCAGGGATATCCACTCCTAGGAGGACTGAAAGCTGTTTTAATCTTCTCTAGTAGTGTATGTACTCTATTATCTGTTTAGGATATAATTCTGGACTTTAAAGTGATTGAATGTGGCAATTTAACCATGTCAGATTGAAGTTCAGCAACCATTGATTTTCAAAGGCATTGCTGACATCTTTCCTTCTTGGAGTTATGTGAACACGCATCTGGCAACTCCAGGGCATTAAACTGAATTAAACTTCTGATTTTATAGAACTCATCCTAACTATACTCAGAAAATGTTCCCCCAATGGATATAGTTATCTTTGCTCATGAACACAGCTATTCATAAGGTATAAAATATTAATCTAACGAAATTATGACATTTATTTTACCATTTTGAGGTGTTTAGTTTCAGAATAGGAGTGGCCTGAATTTACAAAAAAAAGAAAAGGTGAAAGCTAAATCTAAAAAATCCATTCAAAATTATCTATAAGGCATAATAAATATGGTCCAAAGTGAAGACTTTTTTTTACAGCCTGATAAATGTTAAGCTCTTCTCAGTTTATATTGAAGTCAACATCTCTGCTGAGTCAGTCAGAAAACACAGTTCTCTACATATTACAGCTCAATTAAAGACAAAAACTTGGCTAAAACCATTTTATCTTACCAAAAACTAACATGTAGTGTAAACTGAATTTTTTTATTCCCTTTACTTACCTAAACAAGTAATACGATTTTGTGGTTAACAACGTTTTCACAGCAGATTCTTTAAAAGAAAACAATGTAAGTTTTAACCTTCAAATAAAATCTGAATTTTCTTTATAAAATGAAATCAGTGCATTTCCCAAAAACAGACATAAAATGTATTCTTAAAAAAAGGAGGAGAGAAGAAGGTTAAATTTATAAGAATTGATTCCTGAACAGCCGCCTCCACTGCCTGTTTCAAGACGCAAGAAACATTCAAACAACCAGATTTTTCAATGGACTACTGCATTTAATTATCATTTAGTTTTCTTTTTCTTTTCTGCAAAAGGTTTGATACAGTTACATTTTATTTACTTACACCACAATATTCTCCAGCTAAAGATGATCCAACATATATTCTTAGACCCAATAGAAGGGCTAAGATGTCCCAGTTCTCCAAACTATAAAGCAGAAGCATTGTGTCCTGACCTGGCGCCCTTAGCTTGGCTTGGCTGGATGAGCGGGCCAGTGGAAGACTTTGGCGAAGCCGGTTCATCCGGTTAAAGCCGATGGGGATGTCTGGTTCAGACATGGTCTCAAGATTTTCCGCTGAGGCGAAAGAAACTCTGTTGGCCTGGTCTGCGAGAGCCGGTTGTGTTGGGCTAAGTCGAGTCACACGGGGTGTGCGACTCTGAAACACAGATGAGAAGAAAATAACCTGATTACACAGAATAAAGCCGAATGCCGTTCTGCTATATTATTTTTTGGAGAGAAAACAGTGAATGGACAAAATATATACGTAAGTGGTGCTGAGGATTGCAAACACAAAAAGAAAAAGCCAAGGTTAAAACAACTTTAATCTAAAGTGAGTTGGCTCAGCACCAGCATTCAAACAGTTCCCTAAGAATGATCCATCCTAATAAGGAATGAAAAACATGCAAAAACAGTGGAAAGGATGTTTATGAGGTAAACTAAGAAAAAAGGTTCAATAAATGAGAGACTTCAGCAGCGTAGCCTCGATAAAACCCAACAGAAAATTGATCGAGATTAATTTCTGCAACTGGACTCAAGCAGATTACAGAAACGAGCCACAAAGTTCTCCACAAAGTCACTGAATTGGCAAACGTTAACGGTGGAAGGCCAATGACTTAACGGGTAATCCAGATTCCCAGTGATATTTCAGTTGTCTATTCTCAACCCTAAGGGAGACCAATATTGAAGGACCTCTCATTACAGCACAACCAGGTGGCACTGCAGGTTTTTAATGAAACCTTACTAACGGACATTTTCCAGCCCAAAGAGTCCAGTAATGAGCTCCCAGAGAGCCTCGAGGAAACAGACTGTCTAGTAAGGGTCTGAGATTTGTTTTCACATGTGGGTGGTGGGTGTTGTTTGACTCTTACTGTAGATGTTAAAACAGGCAGAATCAAGATCATCAGACATGCATGAGTACGCAAACATGCAGGAGACACCAAGAACCATCCCAGAAAAACATACAAGGCTAAAAGTCCAATCCTCACATGCCGCAGCTGAACATCTTTCTGGGATCCAACCGTTCCACTTAAATAGAGAACTTTCCTTCCTAGAATAAGATCTGTTAAATGTGAAGACAGCCTGGCTGAGTTACACGCGTCGCCTCTCGTATATTTGGAGATTTACGCTTTCAGAACATGTTGGACAGCCAGACGTGCTTCTTCTGCTTTCAGTCCCCCAAGAATTGAGCTACTGAAGGCAGAGGAACGCAGCAAGTGGGAATCATAAAGTTTCTGTTTAGTGAACTGTGAAGAAGAAAAAGGAGCGGATAAGGGTTAGAGACAGAGCACACCCGAGAGTAAAGACACTGGAGATGTCAAGAAAGAGCAGAAATAATAGCAGAATAGAAAGTTCAAAATAATAAAAGCACTGAACCGCTTAGGTTCAGTTTAATCTTTTTGTTTTTGGCAGTAGACCTAATCATAAGTTGACATTTCATTCACAAACAGTAAATAAAGATCAGTGAACCTTTGCTTCTCTCAGAGGACAATCATCACACACACAGAGTCTTAGCTGCAATTAAAAGAAAACTATAAGTATTTTTTTATTTTTTATTTAACCTTTATTTAACCAGGAAAGTCCCATTGAGTTAAAGTAACTCTTCTTCCAGGGAGTCCTGGCCAAGAAGGCGGCTTAAAAAGTTACATTAACATAAAACCACAGGAGACAAGACAACCACAGCTACATATCATCTAGGCAAAATTAAACACAACACAACAAGATTGGGCATACACATACAACCAAAAAGCAAAGAGCAAACAAGGCATCCAATCAAAAACAGTTGCATCTGTCAGTTAATGATGATTTTAACAGGTCTTTAAAAGAATTTATGGATGGAAGTACTTCAAGATTTAAAGTGGCTTGAAGTTCATTCCATGCTTTAGGTGCAAATGATGAAAATGCTGTTTTTCCTAGTTCAGTTCTTGTAAATGGAGTATGTAAAAGTATTTTTTCTGATGACCTAGTCCTGTATCAAAGAGATTGGTGCTGATCATTTGCTTTGTTGTTTTTTTAAGATTCTGGAATATTGATTATGAACAAAGGATTATGCTACAGTCCTGCTAAATTAACATTACACTGGCATTTAGATAACAAATTAATAGAAATACAAGTCTGTGACAGTTCTGTACCCTCTGTGCACCAGTTAACATCCATACATTTAAAGGTGATGCCAATCAAAACCTAAAAAAAATAAACTTTATTTCAGACAGAGACAAGACTGCATCAAGGCTTTGGTTAAAAACACTTCTCCTGCTGGGGTAGGCCTGGTACAAACATTAGTTGAAAGAATTCCTAAAGGAATAATAATCTTCCCAACATTAAGAGAAATTATTAGAAATGTCCTTGAATTTTTAGTTTAAAAGCAGAAACTTAAATAATTCTCTTTATGTCTATAGGCAAGATAAGCAACTAGGGAAACAACTCACATTGTCAGGGTTGGGTGGAAATTGGTTGAAGACCCAAATACAGATATTTTTGAGGAAGATGGATGAGTTCTTGCATATTTATTTGATGTGGCAGGAACAGAAGAATTGATCCAATAAACAACAAGCATGGAAATCAGGAACCAAAACGGAAACAGTCAGGAGGAAAATACAGTAGGAACGAAGTAAAGAAGAGAATCCACCACTGATTAACTGTAGAGGAGGATTATTTATGGAACAGAACCAAGAGTGAAGAAATCAGTTAATATGGAGCAGGTGTGGACAGAAGCAGCTAGAAATTATCTATAAGGGGAAAGGAAAGGGGCACTAGGGGGCAACAAAGAAAAACCATTGAAAACAGGGTTTAGCTGAAACTAGAAAAGAACTTAAATAAGGCCAAAGGGTAATAAAACTAAGATGACAATATAAGGAATAACTAAGAGGAAAACTAGAGGATGACAGAACGAACAGGAGATAACTGAAGCCATGGAAAACATAACCTAAGGATAAGAGAAAGAATAACCATCTAAAACTAGACCAGAGAAAAAATCATAGCAAAAATATTGAAAAGAGAATAACAAGGAAGAATAAAACTAATCATTCAAAAATTATATTAGTCTTGACATTACAGAATAACATAAAATAAAGCATAACAAAGAACCAAAAATGAAAACTTACAAAAACCCAAAAAAGTGCAAAAGGGCATCATGACACACACTGTCTTATAAAAACAAATCATTCCTGCTTTAACACATGGTTTGGACGTATGGTGAGTGGGATATTTGAAGAATTGCTGGTTGCTCTTCTTTCTTTACTTCAGCTTCCCTACTGGTTTTCTGAAGCTCTTAGATTTGAAGACCAACATGACAAACCACCTCTGTATTTTTTTGGCATCATGACACCTCTTTAGTTTGGGGGTAAAATAAAACTGACTTTTCACTTTAATTTTTCAAGTACTCTTTAGTTTATGAAGCAATCCCATCCATATAGGCTCTGGACATTTTACACCCTAGGGAAAGAGGAGCCCTTACAGAGTCAGCAGCTTAATAAACCATCCTGTAAGTGGGGTATTTGGACTCCACTTCATTAAGACCAGCAATTAACTTGCTATCTTCTTGGTTTGGAAAACTTGAAACCTCCTAAGGGCAGTCTGTAAATTACTGTAGGTATAATACCAATATTGTGTCTGCCTAGAACTGATCTTAACAAAATGTCCTAATCGGCCAAATAAACAAAAAAAGCTTGGAAGATGTTGCTGATAAATGATGATGAATGTACACCAATAAAGCTCTTCTTCATGCTGCCTTAATGTTTTTCCTACAACTTTCCTAAAGAATGTTTTCCTGACATAATATCTGATTTGACTTAGATAATAACACTTTTGTCAGGCGTTTCCCACTGGCTCTAAAACAGCATTTATTAAACAGCTGTTGAAAATTAACAACTTGCCCAAGTTGTTCTTGCAGAAATACAGGCCTATCTCAAAGCTCCCCTTTATCAGTAAGATTATTGAAAAAAAAAATTTTAAGAGCTAAACATCATTCTAATACTGAACAGCTGCTTCAACGTTCTTCTGTGCTTGCAACAGTGCAAAGACTATCCTTGGCAAGTTGTTCAATAATATCCGTATAAATGCAGATATGGAAGAACCCCAGTGCTTGCACTGGTATTGATCTTCTCTATCAATCAATAAATCCAAAAGGTAACACTAAAAATGTTGTTTTCTTCAAAAAACCTTTCCTTCCCGAGTTTTTTATGTCAGTGCTAAAAATCAAAACCAAACAGATCAGCGCTGCCTTTAACAGTAAAGGTTTTCTGATAAACATCAGTGAGATATTAAACTTTCCTTTTTCTCTGTCAGCCTCTCAGGGTGACATTGTTGGCTCAGGCACGTTGCTGTGGTGTTTATTAGGAGTCCTGCAGCAGCTGTGTCAGATGGCATTATTAAAAGCTCACTGCAAAGCTTCCTGTTCTGCAGTTTTAATATAGTTTGTTCATTAAAGGTTCAACAATTTGACCTCTCTGAGATTTAACTTCCTAACCTTTGCAAAATTATTTTTGTCACGACTTGATATAGACTCCAGATTTGAGAGCACTAATAGAATAAATGTGTAATAGTGTAATAACTGGCTAATAATACCCCTTTGGTTCTGGTTTTATTGAATAAGCTTAGTTCAATCCATATTTCAACAAAGAAAAGACAGTTTTTATTTTGCTGATATGAATACTCTGGTCACTGTAACTTGTGGGATAAAAAAAAAACAACAACATGTAAAACCCATCACTTAGCACCAGTGAAATCTCATGTAGTATCAGTAACCCCCAAATACATGCTGGAACAGACAACCAAGCCATCCAAGAGTTACCTTAATCTAATTTCTCTCTAGATTCTGCTGCTCTGAACTTCATAAAGTCTGCCATTTCAGCTCAGAGTTGTGCTAAACTTACCTCTTATTCCACCATCATCTTCAGGCAATATTTGAAGCAATATCAGCAGGTCACTCTGAATGTAACTACTCCTATATAAGCTTCCCAGCAGCTAAAACATGAAGTCTTGATTGGTGAAAACAGCTGTGCTCATCTGGGATATGCTAAACCCAACCCACCCAGCTGCCAGACCCCCACAGATTTCACGGACATTACTGTACCTCCGCATACCATGGTACATGGCATTCCTTTCCTTTTGAACGGATCACTGAGAGCAAGTGAGGCTCCAAGTGTCAACCAGCATGTT